TGTATGAGTATGCGTGTGCGAATGCATTTGGGTGTGAATGGAATGTTCGTGTGTTTGTTTGCTTTCGCAATTTTCGCTTGAAGCATTTGCAGGTACTCGCGCATTATGCGCTTCGGCACAATATTGTACGCGCTATGAACAGTACAAGCAGAAAGGACGAGCTCGCAAAGGAACCCAAGATGGAAGCTTTGCGGTTCGGTTGAATTGATTGTGCAGATTCAGTTCTATCCAACTCGAAATTGTACTGTTTTGTTTGGTTGACTATAGTGTAGCAGGGCAGGCACTATAGGGGTACAATTTAGGTGAAGGTTGGATGTTGTTTGTCTGTATCTGCTTGCTACAGGGCCAGGGGAAACCAGCAGAACCAGCATTTGGCTGGTTGGGCAAAGACAAAACAGGTTCTGTTTTTAGGACCTGAACCTGGTTGTTGTTTTTCCCAGGTTGGAAAAACAGAACCAGAGGTTGTTTACCAACCTACCACCTGCTGTTTTGTCCAGCCAGGTTGGTTCTGTTGCTTGGAATTATTTGGGATCATCCCTAGTTGTTCCCAGGTTTATTCCCAAGGTCCTTGCTAGCTAGAACTATATATTCCTTCTCTGTTTGTACCTGAATATAGTCAATTTGATTCAAGCGAATTCCTCCCTTCCTGGAATTTCGTTTCTACGCGGTGCGACGGCGGAATGCTACCCGAGTCGACGCTAGTACGCTAGCACTCCAACGCTAGGCAAACGCTGTCCGAGCCATAACTTCGTAATGGCAGAACTTTTCACGAGGCAACTTGGCTTATTTTAAAGCTCTTGGAGTGAGCTTCGATATAGGAAATTCTCAGCTTAATCCGGTCGACGGTCTGCACGATACGCTGCGCGACGTTCAAGGTACTCTTGTTATTTTGACTAAGTCATTCTTGATCCCTCTCTCTACAAACTCGGACCCGAGGATAGGGGCTGGTCTTGTACCAGGCACCCAAGAACCCTTGGAGGTGACCCCGAGGAGAGGTTTTAAGTTTGATAAAGTCTTAATAGCTTGAGTTTGTTAGGCCCTTACACCAAAAAAGTCGACCCCCTGACGCTAACCGAAGCCTCGTGCAACTTAACGCGCCCTTAGAGGGGAAACCTCGTCGACGTAGGTGCCTGTGGACTTTCCGGATGCCATCTCTGCGTCCATGGCTGTCTGCCACTGAGAGGAGTACTGACCCGTAATTGCCTCTGTGTAAGAGTGCGGGATCGGGATGTCTAGTACATCCGGGTCTCCTTCAGTGGCAAGCATCAGGACAGCGAGATGAGGAACATCAGCCGCAAGGCACTAGAGCTCAAACTGTTTGTCCTCAAGGACGTCGTAGTCAAGGGCAAGCTCACCCTTGACGGACGGAGAATAGTCAGACTCAGACTCTGTAACAAGACCCGCGAAGTAGATTAGACGACTCGTAGAGGCGAAGTCAACAAGCTCAGTACCTAAGGCAGACACAACAGTAGACGCAAAGGAAGGGTCAGTGACAATCATGGCCAGGACACGCGTGACAGTAGGACTAGCAGCACGAACAAGGTCAGACTCAGGGTTAGGAACGTCAGGAAGAGAAGATGCAGGTAGCGAAGGCAGGACAACAAGCTGTGGAACAGAGGAAGGACGAAGTGCCATAGTGTGAGTGCTGGGGACTGTTGGAGGTCGAGCATGAGGAGCACGACGAGTGCGAACATGCATGACAAGACGTCATGCATGCTCTCTACTCTCAGTCAGGGACTCTATGACCGCAGTGTAAGGAGCAGGAGCAGTCAGTGGGGAGTTAGGCAGTAACAGTGGTCGAGACGGGTCAGTCGGTGGAAACAGTAACGGAGGAGTTGTACCAGCAACGGGGAACTGTGTAACAGTAGGCGGGAGACTCAGAAGGTGGCGAAGCGTAGGCGGCTGCTGCTGAGTAGTTGCACCGCTAGTGACAGGTCCGGCAGGACCTCTAGCACTAGCACCTCCAGCTGCAGCAGTACCAGCACCCCTAGCACCAGCAGCTCCAGCTCTGCCACCGGGGCTGCCCCACCGACAGCCCACTCGCGAAGCTGCCACGGCGAGAGGGTCTCCTGGCGACTTGCACCAGGACCTCCAGCACCAGCATCTCCAGGACCTCCAGCTCCAGCACCTCTAGCACCAGCACCTCCAGCAGCACCACCAGCATCCGCACCCCTAGTACTAGTACCTCTAGCACCAGCACCTCCAGCTCCAGTACCTCCAGCACCAGCACCTCTAGCACCCCAAGCTCCGCCACCAGGGCTGCCCCACTGGGCAGCCCACACGTGAAGCTGCTGTGGTGAGAGAGGCTTTTGTCGACGAGACTGCTGCTGCTGTCCACCGCCAAAACCTCATGCAGTGGCACCCACGACTCCACCACCACTAGTACAGTCAACACCCCCAGAACCAGCACCCCCAGAGTTCACACCTGGGGGAGCAGGACCCTGCGTGGGGAGAGGGTCTACCGGGGTGTGAGAGTACGATGGCTCTGCCTACACGAACTTACCTATATTTACTTTCTTATGCATTATCATGCTGAACCTGATTTTATTATGTACTCCAGCTGAGACAATGGTGTCAAAAGGCACCACCTGCCGTCTTCTCTGCTCAAGCAAAGCTGACACTATTCAGACCAGATCTGGCACGATATTGCAGTGATCTGGTGCGTGCATTTGGGCCCACGTCCCCAATAAGTATCGAAGTAAGTTGGGGGCGAGTGCAATCTGGTGTGTGCATTTGGGGCTGGCTGCTGAGAGCAAGGGATGGCTGCTGTGGGAACCTTCCAAGGGTGTGTTGATTGACAGCAGGGATGTGAAGTTTTGAGGGCATGATGTATGGGAGCTGGGAGAAACAGCCGGAGGCCAATGGTGTCCCAGCAGATGGAGCAGATCACCATGCAGCTGGACCTGACTCCTAGTGTGTAGGAGGAGGGAAAGGAGGCAGCTGCAGAGGGTGGTGATAGAGAGAGGGTACAGGAGGCATCTGCTGGTGGAGAAGATGGTGTGGAGACTAGCGGTAGCACTAGTGGAGTGCTGGATCCAAGGGAGGAGAGCAGCAGCAGGGAAAAACTAAGAAGCCGAAGGGTGTCGTTTTGAAGGGATGGGAGACACCCGTCTCCGGGCCAGGACGTACCCGTATGGCTATTAGGAAGCTGACTGCAAGATCAGGTGTAGCGGAGCAGCAGCTTGGGATCGAGGAGGCAATGCTGATTCTACCGCATGGCTATGACCCGGATAAGGAGGATGAACCTGCCTATTGTTTTCTTGCCCCTGCACCAGAGAAACCAGCTAGCATGGAAGAGGCATTAGCTGGAGAGAGAAGTGGCTGGTTTCCAGGGATGCTGAGTACCATAGCCTGCTAGAGAATGGGACATGGGATCTGGTGGTGCTGTCCGAGGGGAAGAAAGTCGTACAGTGCAAGTAGGTGCTAAGGATCAAGACCGATGACAAGGGACAGGTCACCATCTACAAGAGTAGGCTGGTGGCTAAGGGGTTTATGCAGAAGGAGAAGCATGACTTCAATGAAATTTTTGCTCCTACTGCCAAACCCCCCACCCTCTGTGTCTTGTTGGCAGATGCAGCTGTTAGTGGGAAATTTATCATTCAGATGGATATATCAACGACATTTCTCAATGGGATTTTAGAGGAGGATGTGTACATGACGCAACCGCCTGGGTATGAGGATGGTACGGGTAGGGTGTGCAAGCTTGAAAAGTCCATATACGGCTTGAAGCAGGCGCCACGCTGCTGGTACCAGAAGTTGGCTGCTGTTTTAGAGATGGGATTCAGGACCAGCAGCTGTGATGAGAGCCTCTTTCTCAAGGGGGAGGGGGAGAAGCTGGTGCTGTTTCTTGTTTACGTGGACGACATTCTTCTCTTTAGCAGCAGCATGAAGGAGATCCAGAATGTGCAGCAGCAGCTGATGGAGAACTTCAAGTGCAAGAACCTTGGGGAGGTAAAGTTCTACCTCGGGATGCACGTGGAAAGAGATCCAGATCACAGGTGGTTGAAGCTGCACCAAGAGAAGTTCATCAAGGAGCTGGGGGAGAAGTATGGGATTGAGAATGAGCGCAAGGTTGCAACTCCCCTGCAAGCATAGTTCAAGCTTGTGAAGGCTGCAGAGGATGAAGGGGTTGAAGCCAAGGAGCAGCAGCAATTTCAGTCCTTGGTGGGCAGCCTTTGTAAGCAGCAGTTCACACAAGGCCCAACGTCTCTTCCTCATTTGGGCAGCTGGCTAGGGTGGTGAAGAATCCATCGGAGGAGCAGGTGGAAGCAGCTGAGCGTGTGGTGAAGTACCTGAACTCTCACCCAAGCATTGGAGTTCAATACTCCGCATCTGCACAGGTGAAGCAGAAAGGGGTTGAGGTGCTGTGAGAGAAAGGGGAGAGGCTGGGAGAAGGCAAGCTGTTTCTCACTTGCTTTACCGATGCTACATGGGCCTCTGAGAAGGAGGATACATCTGCGTAGTTGGGGGAGGACCCGTTACTTGGAGGTCCAAGAAGCAGACGTAGACAGCCCTTTCCTCGGTGGAGTCAGAGTACATGGCAATATTTCACGGGGTGAAGGAGGTGATTTGGCTGAGGAGGCTGTTAGAGGAGATTGGCCAGGAGTAGAAGGTTGCTACGCCGCTGTTTTGCGATAGCAAGGGGGCTCTTGGGATGGCCAGGAATGCTGTGCTTCATGGGCTCAACAAGCATATGCGTATCAATTGGCAGTGGCTGCTTAAGGAGGTGAAGAGGGGGACGGTGAATCCGCTCTATATCAAAACTCACCAGCAGCCAGCAGACTCTGGTTCTGTTTTTTGGTTCAGCCGGGTTGGTTCTGTTGCTTGGAATTATTTGCGATCTTGTCTTCAGGGTACGTGTCTGACATAAAAAGCCGGACACCGTTCAGGCTTTCGAGATCCCCCAGCCTCTTCTGGAGGGGGGTGAGCGTCAAATTGGCGTGGCGGCGGCAGGCGTCGAGGCACGACTGCAAGTCATCCGGGGTCTTGCTGTAGCCCGTCTATGCCTCCTCGTGCAGCTCAAAGCTATGCTGTCGTTTCTCCCCCTCCTTGTCCACACCTGCCACTGTGATTTTCGGAGACTTACTGAGCCTGGCTAGGAAGGCCCCGAGATGTAGCTGTGGGCCGCCACCGAAGTCATCGCCGCACTCGATGTAGCGCGTACGGATGGTGATCAGGGTGCGGCGCACGGTCGACTGCACCGATGTCATGCCGACCTGCAACATGACAAGGTACAGTTTTAACAAGGACGGGGAGAGAAAGGGGAGAAGAAGGGAAGACGGTGCAGAGAAGGGAGAGAGGAAAGGGTGAGTCAGGGGGGGAGAAGGGGGAGATGCGGGTCAAGGAGGCTACGTTTGCATGCAACCTCAGGCTCGGTGCAAAAGGCAAGGCTCCAGTGCGCGCTGATTGCTAGCAGCACAAGATATATCCCCCGGTTGTTGGAGAGACAAGGCCGGGGAGGGAAGGACCGTACTAACAACAATACTAAGGGTCTCAGGCATACAAAGGCTACTCACCTCCTGCCTCTGAAACTCCAGGTTGAGGCTGTTGAGGATGTTGAGCATGTCGGCGAGGTAATACAGATACACATTGAACTTCACTAAAGTCACAATGTGGTAGAAGTCGTCGCCCCACTCCCATAGGAGCACGATGACGGCACGGAGCACACGCACCAAGCGCGTGATGGCATCGCCGCGGCTCAGCCAACGAACTGAGTGAATTCCCTGCAGTTCAAGGTTTGTCTTGCAAAACACCTCCTGCAGCTCTTGGAACTCATTGTGAGAGGGATGCGACCTTCCCAGGTATTCCGCGAGTTCCTTCAGTACATAGTCGATTATGCCCAGCTCAGGGACTGCAGTGGCGGCGTCCTTGGCTGCCAGTGCCTCTCTGCACAACATGATGTGGGCACGAGAGAAGGGGAGGTTTGGTTTAAGGACGGAGAATTGCATTGACTGTTTTTGCGGCCCGTTGCTGTCCGTCCACAAGGAGAATATGCAGCAGATCACCGTTACGTCTGGAGCGGGGAGGGAGGGAGGGAGAGAGGAAAGTAGGGGGGAAACAGAAAGGGTGGGGAATGGCATGAGCTTTAGATTATGTGAGCGCGTGCCTGCCTTGCACTTTTTGGGCAACGTGATGGGCATTTAGATGCAACACACGCAGGCAATAAGTACTACTCACCGATGTGCAACGCAATGGCCGGAGAAGTGGTGCGGGACCTTTACACGCAGCCGAGCCACCAGGCCTTTTGTGCTACCCATCATCGCACCTGCGCCATCCGTGCTAATCCCGGCCACCTTGCTTATGTCGATTCCAAGAGAGTCAAGGAGGGTCAGCAATAGGGAAAGCAACGAAGCGCCATCGCATTTCTCCACCGTTAGTAGACCGATGAACTCCGTGACTACACGAGAGTCACGGAGAAACGTGGCAAACACGATCTGGTGTTTGCCATGCACACGATCTGTACTCTCGTCACAGGTTAGTCCGATGAATGGACTAGACTACAACCAGACATGCTGACGAGCACGGAGATATGGTGCAGTGCTTGCGATGAGCTCGGCAAACCCGTATCTGCATCAAACGGAAAATGGTATTGAGGGTTAGCAACAGTGAGCAGGTTGTGCACAACCTCCGTACTAAGGTTCTCGGGTATAGCAGCCATTGTTGATCAACGGCTCACCTGGTGTAATATGCACCGTGGCCATTCTTGGGGAAGCCTGGTGTCTGTCGCTCTGCAAGGTGCCGAACGAATTGAACCCACATCTCAATTGGTGCGTCACATTTGCAGATGAACAGCAGGGTCTTCAGCAGAGCGATGACCCTTAACACGCTGGATGTCTCCAGCCTTTGGACAGTCGATGATGCGCTGCTGCTTCTCAGCCGCCTGCTCCGCCAGGGCCTGTCGCTTGACAGACCGTTTGTGCTTCCTGGAGATTTGATGCATGCGGAATGCCTGGGTTTGGACGTCGACGGCACCTTCGCCAGCAGAGCCGTAGTTTGTGCCGTGTCCTGCGTGCTTGGTACACAAACTGCACCTCACTGATGGGAAACCGAAGGAAGTTTGACAAAGCACGAGCCACGGGAAATCAGTTGACCATTCCCGTTTGTACTTCATAAGCGCCTCCTGATATTTATCCTCTGCCTCATCGTGCAGTACCTCAGTAGATGAAGATGCTGCAGGAACGGCCGATGGTCCTGGTAGAGCTGGCTCTAAGCAGATACGTACGGTGGGTTCCATAGGACTATCGCGAGGGAACGACAAGCGCGACTGTTTGTGCTTGGTCGCTCTTAATTTAGCAGTAGCGGCAGGGCCGATGCGTGTCGCACCAGGTGGTACAACGTTCGTGCCGTTCGTACTAGCACGGGCGGCTGTGAATGCGGGAGTTCGAGATAAACCAGCTGCAGGTGAGGGTGTTGGTAACGTGGACACAGCTCGAACAGGACACAAGAAGACCAATCTGGTTAGACCCCGTGATACTGGCGTCGCGCCATCGTCCTTGTTGGCCATGACTAGTCCGACTGAGCCAGCCGAGCTTCACTTGTGCTACTCTAATAGCAACACTGGAAGAGTGTTGGTTGGATGGAGGAGTGCTCAACGTCAGCGAGAGAGACACCCAGCTTGTGCATGCATGGCACACGACGAGTTGACTTGCCCAACCTGTTCCCAGTTGTTTGTGTAAGGGCCTAATAAACTCAAGCTATCAAGACTTAATCAAACTTAAAACCTCTCCTCGGGGTCACCTCCAAGGGTCCTTGGGTGCCTGGTACAAGACCAGCCCCTATCCTCGGGTCCGAGTTTGTAGAGAGAGGGATCAAGAGGGACTTAGTCAAAACAGCAAGAGTACCTTGAACGTCGCGCAGCGTATCGTGCAGACCGTCGATCGGATTAAGCTGAGAATTTCCTATATCGAAGCTCGCTCCAAGAGCTTTAAAATGAACCAAGTTGCCTCGCGAAAAGTTCTGCCATTACGAAGTTATGGCTCGGACAGCGTTGGCCTAGCGTCGTAGTGCTAGCGTACTAGCGTTGACTCGGGTAGCATTCTGTCGTCGTACTGTGTAGAAACGAAATTCCAGGAAGGGAGGAATTCGCTTGAATCAAATTGACTATATCCAGGTAGAAACAGAGAAGGAATAAATAGTTCTAGCTAGCAAGGACCTTGGGAATGAACCTGGGAACAACCAGGGATGATCCCAAATAATTCCAAGCAACAGAACCAACCTGGCTAGACAAAACAGCAGGTGGTAGGTTGGTAAACAACCTCTGGTTCTGTTTTTCCAACCTGGGAAAACAACAACCAGGTTCAGGTCCTAAACACAGAACCTGTTTCGTCTTTGCCCAACCAGCCAAAAGCTGGTTCCGCTGGTTTCCCCTGGCCCTGTAGCATGCAGATACAGACAAACAACATCCAACCTTCACCTAAATTGTACCCCTATAGTGCCTGCCCTGCTACACTATAGTCAACCAAACAAAACAGTACAATTTCGAGTTGGATAGAACTGAATCTGCACAATCAATTCAACCGAACCGCAAAGCTTCCAACTTGGGTTCCTTTGCGAGCTCGTCCTTTCTGCTTGTACTGTTCATAGCGCGTAGAATGTTGTGCCGAACCGCACAACGCGCCAGTACCTGCAAATGGTTCAAGCGAAAATTGCGAAAGCAAACAAACACACGAACATTCCATTCACACCCAAATGCATTCGCACACGCATACTCGTACAAACAGACGGCAGGATGTCGTGCAATGTGAATTTGCACCCAACACACTCCCCCTCAGCCTGCCGGCTGGATCCCCATCATTCCATGCTAGTTCATGCTCATTCCACTCATGCGCACACAACGCCAATGTGGCTCATCCGCAAGCCTCTTGGTGAGGAAGTCTGCTGGCTGCTGGTGAGTCTTGATGTAGATCGGATTCACCGTCCCCCTCTTCACCTCCTTACGCAGCCAGTGCCACTTGATACGCATGTGCTTGTTCAGCCCATGAAGCACAGCGTTCCTGGCCATCCCAAGAGCCCCCTTGCTATCACAAAACAGCGGCGTAGCAACCTTCTGCTCCTGGCCAATCTCCTCTAACAGCCTCCTCAGCCAAATCACTTCCTTCACCCCATGGAACATCGCCATGTACTCTGATTCCACGGAAGAGAGTGCCGTCTCCGTCTGCTTCTTTGACCTCCAACTAACAGGTCCTCCCCCAACTACGCAGATGTATCCTCCTACAGATGAGGAATCCTCCTTCTCAGAGGCCCACGTAGCATCAGTAAAGCAAGTGAGAAACAGCTTGCCTTCTCCAAGCCGCTCTCCCATTTCTTTCAGCACCTCAACCCCTTTCTGCTTCACCTGTGCAGATGCGGAGTATTGAACTCCAATGCTTGGGTGAGAGTTCAGATACTTCACCACACGCTCAGCTGCATCCACCTGCTCCTCTGATGGATTCTGCACCACCCTAGCCAGCTGCCCAACCGAGAAAGAGATGTCGGGCCTTGTGTGAACTGCTGCATATAAGAGGCTGCCCACCAAGGACTGAAATTGCTGCTGCTCCTCGGCTTCAACCCCTTCATCCTCTGCAGTTTTCACAAGCTTGAATTCTGCTGGCAGGGGAGTTGCAACTTTGCGCTCATTCTCAATCCCATACTTTTCCCCCAGCTCTTTGATTAACTTCTCCTGGTGCAGCTTCAACCACCTGTGATCCAGATCCCTCTCCACGTGCATCCCGAGGTAGTACTTTACCTCCCCAAGGTTCTTGCACTTGAAGTTCTCCATCAGCTGCTGCTGCACATTCTGGATCTCCTTCATGCTGCTGCTAAAGAGAAGAATGTCGTCCACATAGACCAGAAACAGCACCAGCTTCTCCCCCTCCCCCTTGAGAAAGAGGCTCTCATCACAGCTGCTGGTCCTGAATCCCATCTCCTCTAAAACAGCTGCCAACTTCTGGTACCAGCAGCGTGGCGCCTGCTTCAAGCCGTAGATGGACTTTTTCAGCTTGCACACCCTGCCTGTACCATCCTCATACCCAGGCGGCTGCGTCATGTACACATCCTCCTCTAAAATCCCATTGAGGAATGCCGTTGATATATCCATCTGAATGATAAATTTCCCACTAACGGTTGCATCTGCCAACAAGACACGAAGGGTAGGGGGTTTGGCAGTGGGAGCAAAAATCTCATTGAAGTCCCGCTTCTCCTTCTGCATAAACCCCTTAGCCACCAGCCTACTCTTGTAGATGGTGACCCGTCCCTTGTCATCGGTCTTGATCCTTAGCACCCACTTGCACTGTACAGCTTTCTTCCCATCGGGCAGCACCACCAGATCTCATGTCCCATTCTCTAGTAGGCTCTGGTACTCAACATCCCTAGAAACCAGCCACTTCTCCCTATCTGGTCCAGCTAATGCCTTCTCCATGCTAGCTGGTTCCTCTGGTGCAAGGGCAAGAAAACATACGGGGTCATCCTCCTCATCCGGGTCATAGCCATGAGGTATAATCAGCAATGCCTCCTCTGTCCCAAACTGCTGTTCTGCTACATCAGCTCCTGCAGTCAACTTCTTAGTAGCCATACTGGTACGTCCTGGCCTGGAGACGGGTGTCTCCCATCCCTTCATAACAACACCCTTCGGCTTCTTAGTTTTCCCCTGCTGCTGCTCTCCTCCCTTGGATCCAGCAGCTCCACTAGTGCTAGTCTCCACATCATTTTCTCCACCAGCAGATGCCTCCTGTACCTTCTCTCCATCACCATCCTCTGCAGCTACCTGCTCTCCCTCCTCCCACACACTAGGAGTCAGGTCCAGCTGCATGGTGATCTGCTCCATTTGCTGGGACACCCTGGCCTCCGGCTGTTTCTCCCAGCTCCCATACATCATGCCCTCAACAAACTTCACATCTTTGCTGTCAAACAACACACCCTTGGATGGTTCCCACAGCAGCCATCCCTTGCTCTCAGCAGCCAGCCCCAGATGCACACACCAGATTGCACTTGCCCCCAACTTACTGCGGTAGGTCTTGGGGACGTGGGCGACTGCCATGCAACCGAACACCCTCAGCATATCCACTGGCGGCTTCCTCCCAAGCCACCTCTCCAACGGCACCCACGAGTCATCCCCAACCTTTGTGAGTACCCTGTTCCTAGCGACGGTAGCGTGCCGAACAGCATGGGGCCACATCGAGTTGCCCAGCCCAGATTCTATGAGCAGCGCCCTAGCTGTCTCCAGAATTGTCCGGTTCGCCCGTTCTGCTACACCGTTAGACTGTGGGGTGTAAGCCGTGGTCAGCTCCCTCTGGATGCCCTGCTTCTTGAGCCAAGCTGTCATCTCAGCTCCAAGGAACTCACCACCCCGATCTGTCCTAATCCGCTTCACCACACACTCCGCTTGCTTCTCCACGAATGGCAGCCAATCATCCCGTATCGTAGAGGCGGCGTGGTCCTTCTGCTTCAGCGGATATGCCCACATAAGCCTGCTCCAATCATCCACTATGGTTAGAAAGTACCGCTCCCCCTTGTGCCCCTGAACCGGCAGCAGCCCCACCAAGTCCATGTGGACCAGCTCCAATGGCTTCTTGCTCCTGCCAGCCACACTATGGAAGGGGAAACGGGTAAACTTTGAGGGCAAACCGATTTCACAATTCTCATCAGATGGCTGTCCGTTCAGCTTCAGACCCTTAACGGCTCCATCTTTCTCCAACTGCTTCAACAAGGGCATTGCCACATGCCCCAAGCGTCGGTGTGCCGTTGCCCAATCCGTCTCCCCAGATCTGGCCGACACTTTCACA